ATTATCATTTAACCCTCATTAATTACTGTGATGTTGGTATGAAAAGGCATATGGTAAGATTCATGGATTTTAGGGGGGAAACTTCATTCGAATGACAGGAAAATTCTTGTAATACTGTATAAAAATGGATTAAAAAGTATGACTTTAATTCTATAAATATGATTATAGGTATTTCTGTAGGCTCAAAAAAAGCCTTAAGGCCAGGTGTGGTGGCTCATGACTGTAACCCTCGCACTTTGGGGGAGGCTAAGGTGGGAGGATCGCTTGAGGCCAGGAGTTCAAGATTAGCCTGAGCAACATAGCAAGACGCACAGACCCACCGTCCAAAGAGTTAAAAAAGTTACGGATTACAGTGGGTACATATCTGTAGTCTCAGCTACTTAGGAGGCTGAGGCAAGAGAATTGCTTGAGCCCAGATTTGAGATTGCAGTGAGCTATGATGATACCACTTGACTCAGCCCAGGTGACAGACACAAGACCCGTCTCCAAAAAAAAAAAGACTTGGAATAAAATGATTGGCAGTGATATTATTTCTAGTATTGAGATGATGAACAGTTATTTTCCTACTTATACTTTTTCTTCCCCAAATTTGATCCAGTGAGCCTATATATAGTAATAAATAAATGGAGAAAGCATTTTAATTTCAGTTGCTTACAAGGCCATTAAGTAGCATCTTTTTATTTTATTTTATTTTTTCTTTGAGACAGAGTCTCGCTTTGTTGCTCAGGCTAGAGTGAGTGCCATGGCATCGCCTAGCTCAAGCAATCCTGTTGCCTCAGCCTCCCGAGTAGCTGGACTACTGGCATGTCACGATGCCTGGCTAATTTTTTTATATATATATTAGTTGGCAAATTAATTTCTTTCATTTATAGTAGAGATGGGGTACGCTCTTGCTCAGGCTGGTTTTGAACTCCTGACCTTGAGCAATCCGCCCGTCGCCTCCAGAGTGCCAGATTACAGGCGTGAGCCACCGCGCCTGGCCTAAGTAGCATCTTTTGTAGGGTCAAGGGTAAGTCTATAATGATGGGAGTGAGTCTTTTCTTCGCCCCTTGATGACTGCGATGAGATGCTGATATATTGTAAAAGCTTTGTGAGTACGCACAAGCGAACAGTGATACTAATGTAGGGAATACAAAAAACCTTCAGGCTTGTCCACGCAGACTTTACTAAGCTTTTCTTTCAATGATCTCGTTATTGTTAGGTTTTTATTACTGGACCCAGAGCACTGGACTCCTGAAACGCTGGACATTCAGCCAACGAGCCCCAATGCCTTAGTTCTGATATTTTGTCCTACTCGCCGCCAGAAAGCAAGCCCTGTTGTTCGGAGTTGTCCTTCCAGCATATTTCGGAACTGTAGCGGCGGACACCGTCAGAAAGATTTTGGCAGAGCTCACAAACAGTGAACATTTCCAAAGCAGCATCTTGATTATTTTCAGAGCAAGAAGCAGGTAGAGGCTTAGCAAAAGGTTTTTATTCTGAAAGATGAGATTCAAATTACTCCATTAGCTGGAGAGACAATCATTTCATACTATGTAAGAGGAAAAATGTTCTGTGAATGGACTGTGGCATACAATATGCATACAAAGCAGCTCGTGTTGTATTATACACATGGCTTCTCTAGGTAGCTAAGTATTCCACCAAGGAGGATAAGCCCAGATCGTATTGTCCTAGAAACCAGTCATAGTCCTACAACCTGCAGGTTCTTCGTGTGATTTATTTAAAACGAAATGTAAGAGACAGGAAGAGATCCTGACCAACCGGCAGCTTCTTTGAGAATGTTTTCTAGCATGGGTCAATGGGATGGGCTGTACTTTTAAAAGTTAAGGATTATAGGAGCAGTAGATTTTTTGATGAATAATGACTTTTCTTTGTTAAGTCTTGTAGTTTCAAAACATGTCATTTCTATCCACTAATTGGAAGTGCTTCTGTGAAGTAGGCCGGTTAGGAAGGTAATTGTTTATCTCTTCTCCTCTTATGGCCGAAGGAGGTCAACGCGGTACATCATCTACCAAAGGTTAAGATCGCAGGTTGTGCCAGTTGCAGATGTGACTGCTAGACTCTCAAACCTGTATCTTTCTCTTTAGTTCTGGTGTTTCCCCATTTCACCATGTTCGAACTGCCCCTGAAAAGAGGCAAAGGTAGGGCATGTGTGTTTAGAGGTGGGTGGGAGAGGAGAACAGAAAGTAGGTCCAGGAGAAGTATTCTAGAAAAGGTTTTTAATTAAAAGTCAGGCTGCAGCGCTCCATTTGAGAGAGGGAGTCGGGGAGCAGAAATCTCCACCTGGGCAGGGTAGCAATGCAAGAAGGA